TTTTATTTCTTACTCCTACTCCTTACTCCAGCTTACTCCAGCTTACTCCATGTATTGTAGACCAGCCTGGAGAGACAGACTAAAGCCTGGTCTACAATGACCCTACAATATTTTGAATCCTCTCTTGTCGATAAAAGTGCCCGTCAAAGATCTTGTCAGCCGGTAAGAATTCTTCAGAAGTAAATTTTAGCGGCACTTTCGTCGATGAAAGGGAATTCAGAATGTGGACCGAGTTGTTAGAACTATATGTCAATCCTTCTTTCTGAGTGAAAGACCGGGCTTTAGAGTTAGTTTATTTAAGCCCTAACGCACTGAACTTTATCTCGAGATTTGGCAAACAAGTTGGTTCTATACTTTTCAGTTTCCAACGAGGTACCAGAGCGTCCGGTGATATCTCCGGTCTCTGGGTCGATATATGAGAGACGTCTCATAGAAAGGTACGTGACTGAAAATGGAGTAGATCCCATCAATGGCAAGGAACTCACCATTGAGCAGCTTATCGATGTGAAAGGTACGTTTAAACTTTAGTACAGTGTATTTTTTTTTATTAAATTATCTTCATGTAATGTCAACAATAAATTTGTCAAATTATCTTCTTACAGCAACTCCCATCGTCAAGCCCAAGCCACCTAGTGCGACTTCTATTCCAGCGATATTAAAGATCATGCAGGATGAATGGGACGCCGTTATGCTGCATTCATTTACATTGCGACAACAACTCCAGACTGCGAGACAGGAACTGTCTCACGCCTTGTATCAGCACGATGCAGCTTGCCGTGTGATTGCTAGATTGACTAAAGAAGTCACTGCCGCCAGAGAAGCTTTGGCCACTCTCAAGCCGCAAGCCGGAATTGTACAGGCCGCTACGATCCCGCAGCCTGTATGTTATTAATGCCTGATTTGTTTTTAAACCTCGCCAGGTTGTAAATGCAATAATAATTATTTTTTCCAGGCTGTGGCAGTAGAGGCTGGCGGTACAGCAGCCCAACCAATGGAACAAGCCGGTATCACTGAGGATGTGATACAGAAACTTCAAGAGCGAGCAACCGTTCTTACTCAAGAGCGAAAACGTCGTGGACGTTCAGTACCGGAAGATCTCCTGCCTCAGGACAGTATCCGCTCGTACCAGACTCTTGCGTCACATCCTGTGAGCTTTCTTTGTGCTTTGCTTAACTTTCAAAATTCACCGCTAATTAGAGTCCTGGCAAAATTTAAGCAGTAAAACATGAGGAAAACGATCAATCACAGTCGAGAACACAAGCCATTTTAAAACTTTAGCAACGCTGAAAATTCCAGGTGGTTGAGACACTCAAGTCTTGTTGCTTAAGTTTTCCTTACGTGCCATAATCCTTGCCATTAAGAATTGTTTTATAAATTTACTTTCTAATAGAATGGAAGTATCGCATTAAAATATAATTCTAATAATTATTATATAATAATTCTAATTTTTAATTTCACGGAGATAGAAAACGAGTTAAATTATTAATAAGAACAATTGTGTAATTTCAGGGACTGCATTCTGCCAGTGTGCCTGGAATTCTGGCGCTTGATATTCACAGTGCTGATACTAGCAAGATTTTAACAGGTGGTGCTGACAAGAATGCGACTGTTTTTAACAAAGATACCGAACAAGTGGTGGCGATCCTCAAAGGCCATACGAAAAAAGTACGCAGTCATAATGTTAATTGCCCTCTTATTATGTTTTTAACCGTGTTAATTTACTTTGATAATTCTCCACAGGTTACGCGAGTTATTTATCATCCAGAGGAAGATATAGTGATGACTGCATCGCCTGACGCTACAATTCGCGTATGGAATGTTGGTACCAGCCAAACGACATTGTTATTAAAAGCTCACGATGCACCTGTGACCGGCTTGTCTCTACATCCAACTGGCGATTATTTGCTAAGCTCTTCCCTGGACCAGCATTGGGCTTTCTCGGACATACGTACTGGCAGATTACTGACTAAAGTACGTTTCAAACAAAAGTGTTACATTTAATACCCTTCCTTTTCTCCCACTCTCATTTTTTTTTTCATACACCGTTCAAAGGTTGCAGGACAAGCGGGACAACCTTTGACAACGGCACAATTCCATCCTGATGGTTTAATCTTCGGCACTGGTACAGCGGACTCTCAGGTGAAGATCTGGGATTTGAAAGAACAATCTAATGTTGCCAACTTTCCGGGACACACAGGTCCAATCACGGCAATTAGTTTCTCTGAGAATGGATATTACTTGGCGACAGCTGCGGAGGATTCGTGCGTCAAACTTTGGGATTTGCGAAAGTTGAAGAACTTTAAGACTTTACAGTTGGAGGAATCTTACGAAGTGAAGGACATTTGCTTTGATCAAAGTGGAACTTATTTGGCTGTGGCGGGAACGGATGTCAGGTAAAATAATGAATTTCTCGACATCTATTAAAATATCATTCTCATTCTAATTAGTATACGATTAAGAAATAATTGTATATTAATTAGCAAGTACATAATGTCTCGTACTTTTAATCGAGAATTTTTAATGAAACCTGTTTTGTCTCAACAGCAAATATCAAAACTTGTTAATAACAAATTAAATTTGCTATAATAGCGTTGAATAAAGCAAGCTAATTGATGATTGCTTGTATTATATATGTTATATTGTTTTCAGAGTATACCTTTGTAAGCAATGGCAAGAATTGAAGGTCCTGAACGATCATACAGCTGCGGCCACTGGCGTTCGTTTCGGAAAGCATGCACAATACATCGCGTCTACCAGTATGGATAGGACATTGAAACTCTATGGATTAGCGTAAAAGTAAAATTAGAAATATATATATATATAGACCTCATTATTTAATCGAACTATGTTATTTTATCAATGTCCAATGGATCCGGTCAATTTTGATTTAACTTGATTTCTTAAATCTTATATTTCTAAAAACAGTTTAGAGAAATGAAAGAGCGTAATAAGTTTATATTGGTGTCCATTTTTTTATCTTGCATTCAAAATAGGTCATCTGAATTTGTTATGTTTTTCTTTCTTTCAAATACGAGTTATTTGAGAATTTCTTGACATAGCCGTAAGTTTTAAGTGTTACATCATTATTCATTTCTAGAAAGTGACAACTTTATCTATAAATAAACGACAAGTGTGAATATATAGAACATTTTCATCTTTAATTACTAAATCGAACACAGTTTCCAATTGGTACGTGAAATCGCCGTTCGTCGAAGGTACGCAGTACGCACATCTATCATCGCCACCACAAACATCACGTTCGCCACTATCGTGTTTTCTACGCGCCGTGTATATTAATCTCGTGTTGGAAGAAAAACTTGAGAGAATACGTCTCTGCCGGATTCGGTTACTCCATCGATTCTTGAAATAGTAAAAATTTCTGTCGTCCAACAATCTTCAAGAAATAACTTGTGAATTTCTCACAAACTGTTCTATACACGTATGTACATATTTAATCACATATAATTCAACTCTGATTATACACCCTGTATACAAGTTAATTAATTTTTACTTTTCTACAGAGTATAACGAACAAGATAATTAAATATTAGATATAAAATTACACTAGGAAACTTAAATGTAGGGCAAGACAAATCAAAAAGTATCCCAAAGGTATATATAATCACTTTTATTAAGGCAACAGTGGAATCGTTAAACAAGTTTTTTTTACTGTTGAAATTAATTCTATATAAATGTACAAATGTGCTCGCGCACGCGCGTAAGTGTATGTGAGTGTGTGTATATGTGTGTGTGTGTGTACCTATGGAGTCACTTATCTGTTATGTGTAATTAACATGTGGGCATCTTCAATGACCAAGGAAAGGAGTATTATCTTCTAATTATACATATATATTATCTCCTAATTATACATGTGTATATACGTACAAAATAATTCATATTGCTGATCACTTTGCCAACTATAGGAAATTTTTTTTTATATGTTAATACACAAGTACCTACTCATCTCGAGTACTCTAATTATACAATAGCTCACTCGCGCAGTAAAAAGTACACTTCTCTCATAATCATTTGTATCCTGGCTGCCACCATTTTATTCTCCTAAAAAAAACAGCTCATAATACCTTTCCTGCAGATTGCAATCATTTTGTCGTCGTAAATCATCTTGTGACATATCGAAGACTTGATTTAAGGCACTTGCATTTCTTTCGCGGTTTCGCATTAGTGTATAAGTGTAAAATACACATTTTTTATAAAATACATAATACTTTGAATGTCTAACACTTTTCTACTTTCAATATAACAACAATTATTGTAAAGTGTACTCCAAAATATATTGAAAATCGTTGCAATTGTGGCAATTTTTCTGTGTACGAGACACATGTAAAGACTTGTAGAAAATATCGCCGCCCCCATTATAGAATTTTCGATTTTGGAAGCCCTATTCCTGATATCACGTACATACACGCGCACACACGCACACGCACACGCAACACACATACATACATGTATGCACACGCATTGAGTCGTTAAAATTTTAACAAAACTATGCATTTACTCAAATAATTGATTTGGCCGTATTTCGTATTGTCTATATTACAGAACAGAATAAACATTCCCCGAAGATCTGCTAGATCGCCGAGAAAGTATTAAGCTGAGTATAAATCTACGAACAAACGCGAACGTTCGGAGATACGCGTTCGTGTTCTGGAGGCGTCCGTTCCTTTTATCTTTCATGTACCGCCTCACGAGGGAATCGAGCTGAGCGCGAATCGAACATTCTGTTCGCATTTGCTTCGGCGTATACATCTGCCGAATGATAACAGTAAACGTTCGCGTTCGCTGTTCGTTTCGTAGATGTATACCCAGCTTTCAAAGCGTGTATATTATTACAAACTAAGCTAAATCACGTTTCGACAGACGATAAATTAATATTTAATGCGTTAATAAACGCTCGAATGAAAGGATTAGGTATTCTAACGCTCCCAAAACTCGACAATCTTACGATCCAAGGAAAAGAGACAGAATATCGCAAAGATTACATTAATGAATAGAAAATTAGTTTAACCTCTGTAAAAAATAATACTAAAATTTAACGCTTATAGAAAAAAATCTTTTCTCCGTTCTTAACGCCCCCATATTCTTGACTTCTTAAGGAACACCCGCACATATGCGTTAAGTTCTTAGTCAGGTTCAGTTTTAGAATAATGTTCTTCTGTGGTAAATATACCATAGAGAAGAAAATACAGGAATCCCATTGCATGAAGGCAGTTGTGACATTTATGTCACTTTAAATTGCATGATACTAAAATATTTTTTACTTCTCAACTTTAAGCGTTCGTTCGTTCCCTGAAGAGGTCCGAATATTCGTACGTTTAGCATATTCCCCTACGCTGTACCTTCGCTATCTTACACTCGCCAATTACATTACGTGATTATTCGCAATGTAAGAAAATTAATGACAGATAAAAAGTACCATGCGTATACCATTACTTGTCGATAGCGCGATCAACATTCTCATTCCGTGGTGTACGTACACGGAGAGAATTTTCTCTTAAAATTTACACTGAAAATCGTGGGACAATATGGCACTTTGAGGAACTTTGTGAGTTCTTTTTATTTTACTAGTAAAATATATACTAAATAGACTTACTAGCAAAATTTCAAAAAACTCATAAAGTTCTTCGAAATTCCATGTTGTCCCATGATTACACGATTATCAGGATAAATTTTAAGAAAAAATTCTTTCCGTGTGTATTATTGTACTAATATTAAAATAAGAACGGGCTCTCCAGGGAAGGGACTAAGAATAGAAGATTGGTCCCCGAGTTAAGAAAATAGATGAGGGGAGGAGGAAGTTCAGCTGTACTGCTAAAGATAAAAGGAATGACGTTCGGGAATTCATCGAAGCACCAATTGTGTATATGCAAAGGCAATTGCCGTCTTTGAGCAATCTTCTCAATCGAAATACTCAGTTAAGTATTCAATCTTGGAAGCTTCTTTCTTCAATTCCTCGCGAATTCTGGTCCAGTCTATTACGAGATTACAGATCTCTTATAGTCTTTTCTCCTCTCCAGTGATTACCTGCGTTGAGCGTTACTTCTCGTTAACGGACGCGGTGAAAGCAGCCAGATTGTTATTGGACGCGACCTTCTGCTTGCCAGCCGCACCAGTCTTCTTCTCGCCGAAGTGTCGCTTCCGGTGCACCTTCATGTTGTCGCGACGATTGAACTTCTTGCCGCATTCCGGGCACGCGTGCGTCTTTTCTCCGTGCACGTGACGATGAGCGGCCAGGTGGCTCGCCTGCGCGAACCTCGCGCCGCACTCCTGGCATATGTGTTTGCGCAGACCCTCGTGCTTCAACAGGTGCTCGTTGAGAAACGCTTTAGACGCGTAACGGTTGTTGCAGACATTACACTCGAACGGCTTGGGATTGGAGTGCTGCAGCACGTGGGCCTTGTATTTGGAGGAGACCTTGAAGGTCTTGCCGCACGTGTCGCACGTGTACGTGGTCGCGTGACGGGTCTTGATATGCTCGTTCAGCACCGCCAGACTCGAGTAGAGATTGTAGCAAAAGCGGCAGCGGAAATTGCGCCGTTTCTTCGTGTGGACACTCGCGATGTGGCCGAGCAGTCTCGTGCGGAACGGGAAGACCTTGCCGCAAAACTCGCACGCCAGATTCTGCGGCGGCAGATGGGACTTCATATGGATTTGCAACGAGACCTTGTGGTGATAACTCTGCCCGCAGTCCGCGCAGCTGTACGGCCGCACGCCCTTGTGAACGTTGTCGTGCTCGGCCAGGTAGAACTTGGACTTGAACCGCTTCGGACACTTGGGACACTGTATGGGCCTGGGATTGGTGTGCGAGCACCGGATGTGCTTCATCACGTCGGACTTGCAAACGAACTTGGCGTTGCAGACTACGCACGTGTACTGCTTGATACCGAGATGCGTCTTCACGTGGACCGTGCACTTGTCACGGCGCTCGTAGAATTTCCGACAGAGCTTGCACGCGTAGCCGTTCTGCGTGCCGTTCACCACATGCTCCACATTATCGTCCACCTTGATCTCCTCGCCGTCGATCTTGAAGAGATCCGCCGGGTTCTGCGTCGCCTCCAGCCGTTGCTCCAACTCCGCCAGATTTTTCAGCTTCGCCATCGCGCTGCTGTTCTTCGTCGACGTGCTGCTGAGGATGCTGCTGACGATGCCGTTCACCTCCGCGTTGCCCTCGCTCTGCAGCAAATCCACGATCCTTGTGTCGACCAGACAGTAGCCCTGATCGGGGAAGACTCGTGCTCGCGCCGTCAACACCTCGTCGTTTTGCTTCTTGCACAGCTCCACGGTAAAGCTAATATCCTCGGTGTCGGTTCGATTTCTCGTCTCCTTCACGGAGACCTCGATGTCGGGGGAGCTGGAGAAAATCGTTAACAATTTATTCAGAGCCGAGGTCGGTAACCGAGTCGTTATCGTCGAGTCCTGTTGCTGCTTCGGACTGCCTTGTTTGTCTACGCTCTCGGTGCTGCTATTACTATTATTATTCGCGGAACGAACACCGGCGTTATTTTCCACGTTGTTTTGACTCCTCAATCTATTGGCGATCGGGATCTCCTCCACGTCGTCCACCGCGTTCGACGAGTCCGCGCTTTGCTTGCTTCTGAGCCAGCGAGTCGGCGACGTTTCCGTGCCCTGATTCTTCTCCGCGGTCTCGTCATTGCACTTGGAAGCCTGCTGCTGTTGCTGACTACGAAGACTTCTCAGGATCTTCGGAGTGTGTTTCTTCTTCTTCGGTTCCGAATTCTTAACTACGTCACCTTGGCTCTCCTCGGCCTGGCTGTCTCTGGTGGAATTAAGATTCTTTTCAATACTGTTGTTATTATCCGCCGACGAGGTGCCCACCGGCGACGCTGATTCCTCATTCTTTACCTCGATCTGGGGAGAAATCGAATAAGACATAGATGAGTAAGTACTTTACAAGCAATCGAAAAACAATTCAATTTTAATTACAAAATGTTCGATTCCGTTAACAATTAATAAAACTTCAAACGAGAGTTGGAAATTGTTTTGCAAAACTTTGCTCATAAATTATTAAATTTTACTTCTCACGCGCTCTATCGTTTATTATTTTACAGCACTTATTAAGATACAATGCGATAAAATTGACAGAATATGAATTGAAGATAGAGAAGGAGTAACTATGACAAAACGGCATGCTAAAAGAAAAGAGCGCTAGAGCGGTAGGTGAAACACAAACGAGAGATCCAGAGACTTACAGACTCTGTTAACGGTGGTAGATTGTAATGATCGCGCAACGTCTCTTGGGTGCGCAGACACTCCTCTTGAAAGTCGCAAACGAATTCGAGCTTCCCCAGACACTGAACACAGATCGCCTTGGGCAGAGGATCCTTCTCGTCTATCTGCGATTCACAAACGGAAGCGATCTGAGTATTGACAAGTGTGTACTTGCGTGAGAGAGGAGCTGACACCCTCATTAAGCTGCGCAGGACCTCGGCACAACTGTAAGAGCACTGTCACATTTGTCGTACGACAAATTTTTCAAGCGTGTTCACTGGCTGCAGAATAGAAAAGCGTTCGAGTCTCTAGAAATTTTCCATTTTGTGGCCAACCGCGGTGCTCAAAAAATTTGTCACACACTGCTCGGTTAAAATTTTTACCTCTGGCAGAGAAGGAGAGCCGACGATGAAGCGATGGGTAAGCAAAAGTTGACAAACAACGTTTCGACACGAGTTACAAAAGTTGCATGTTTTACATTGCGTCGTGGAGTCAACTGCATTATGCTGAACTGTTAAAGCAAGCTGTCGCACGTTTAATTGCATCAATTAAAATAATGGCTCGAAGGACACTGTGATTATTTTAAAGGAGGCATTTTTTTTTAAAGACCATTGGAGCACCGCGGGTGGCAATTAATTGTGCCAACAGTTCGGGATTGATTTCGTATCTCGAGAAAGTGCCGATTTAAAAAACCCCAAAAAAACCGTTTCCTGCAGGATATCAACAAACGCGAAGCGAAGCAAACGTTGCCCGTAAACACGCACGCTGTGCTCGGGGGGGGGGGAGGGGGGGGAAAGGAAACGCAGCGGAGGCGAAAAAGATTTGTTCCTTCTCACCCTTTTCCCCAGCCATTCTTTTCTAACCCCATAAACGGGCGGGAGAGGGGAAGCGTGGAACAAAGCGTTTCAGCGCCCACTCACCACGATGTTGATCTTCCGGTGGATCTTGAGGCCGAGGTAGCGCTTGATGCCCTCCTCGCCAAACACGTCGATGTAGATCCTCTCGTACTGGCCGCATAGCCTGCACATTTTCGCGTCCCCCTCTTCCACCTCCATTCTTGTTTACTCGTGAGCCAGCGCTCGCTTACATGCACGCTCCGACCGCCGCAAGGTGGAAACCGACGGGAGTCCACGCTCGCCGTTTCGTATCCCGTGTCAACGCTGCCTCCTCCGGTCTCCGTCCGCCTCCCGGCAAGCGTCTCTCGGCCGGTCTTCACTTCTTCCTTTCCCCCTTTTCTGTTTTGGAAGAACGCGACCACATTCCCTCGCCCGTGCGACGCCAGGACGTGCGCGGGAGACAGGAAACTGCGCGAGGAAGGGGCGAAAATGGAGACGACTACAATTGGCGTTACTACTTGCTATGACAATCCAGCACGAGAGATTCTCGGGGGAGTAGCCGCGTTCGAGCCAGACTCGCGTAGCGTCACGCTCGGGGGCCCCGCGACCAATCGGCTGCGGCGCCGCCGAAAAAGCCCGTCCCTTTCGAACAGACTTTAAAGCCCGTTGCAGACGATGCTATTTTTTCTGCTGGATTGCTTGCAATTTAGTAAATTGCTAGGAATCCTGAATGCTGAGTGGTGCAATGATAGTAATTTACTAAATCGCAAGCAATCCAGTTGTAAAGTCGTAGTCGTAAGACCAGTCAACTATGGGTCTGTTTTTTATTGCTGCACTCCTGAACTAGTGCACACTGGTGCAATGAGTTGGAATGAGAGGTAATCTATTTGTTTCATTTTAACTTATTGCACTAGTTCAGTAGTGCAGTAATAAAGAACAGGCCTTATGATTGGTTAATTCTTATGTGTCTAACTGAATTGACCAATAAAGCCTCCGCTACAATGATTCTCGGTTCTGTCTACAATGGTCGTAGTCGTAGTCGCTCGATAAGAATTGACCAATCGCAGTCGATTATTCTTACGACTACGACCATTGTAGACAGAACCGAGAATCATTGTAGCGGAGGCTTTATCGAGCGACTACGACTGCGACCATTGTAGACAGAACTGAGAATTATTGTAGCGGAGGCTTTAAGCCTCGTCTACATAGAAGTCGTAAAGTCGTAGTCGTAAGAATAGTCGACTGCGATTAGTCAATTCTTATGTATCCGACGAAATTGACCAATCGCAGTCGATTATTCTTACGACTACGACTCTGCGACTTCTATGTAGACGAGGCTGTAAAGTC